TTTATTGTTTTTATTTAATTCCTGGGCTAATATTTAAGACACAATGTATGAATAATTTTGCTTATCATTAATTATATTGATTCATACAGCCCTATTTTGATTTTTCTTTTATACATGGAAATTCTTATATCTTGCTTTATTTATTAAATTATTTAACTTTCCAATTAGGCTCACTGAATTAAATACGAGATGTGATTAATCTAAATGAAACATAAATATCTATAAAAAATAAAACAATACATCATGTGCATCATGCAGACTGCACCTGTAATAATATCAAGTCCCACATAAAAAAAAAAGATCTCAAATTACATATTTCCTGGATATTTATTCTACATCAACTTTGTATTTTTTCTTTCTGTTTTTTTTTCCTTCTTTGTTGACTTAGTATCAAATGAAATGTTACATAACTGTGAATGTATATGAAATTTTTAAGAATAAGTCATATAATTGATTACATTTAACAGTAAATGTAATTTGATAACTACAGGTACGTGGTGCACCAGCTATAGCTATTGTGGGCAGCCTCAGTGTGGCAGTAGAGATTCTTCAACATCCAAACTATGATGATAAGGAGGCTCTTTTTCGGGATATCAAGGACAACATGAATTATCTGGTAACGGCACGTCCCACTGCAGTCAACATGAAAGAGGCAGCTAACTTCTTCACAGAAAAGGCAGATTATTTGTGTAACTCTGACGAGTTCACGCTATCTCAGATGAAAGACGAGTACTTATGACTTTATACCTTTGGAGAAAGATATGAACAGTCTGATTTACATTATTTTGAAATTTATATTATAGATTCATAGACCAAATAGATAAAATGCTGATGGACGATATAAAGGACAATAAAGCAATCGGGAAATTTGGAGCGGACGAAATTCTACGTAATGTGCCTGAGGGAAGTTCTGTCAGGGTGCTCACCCATTGCAATACCGGGAGTCTCGCTACCGCGGGATATGGCACAGCTTTAGGTGTCATCAGATCTCTTCACGAGAGGGGAAGACTCGGTAAATATAATCTGTTTTTGAAAGCCTTATCTTGGCCGGGCGAGTAAGAGACACATTTCTCAATCGTTATCTATTTGTTTCAGAGCACGTTTATTGCACCGAGACCAGACCATATAATCAAGGCGCACGTTTAACCGCTTATGAATTGGTACACGACAAGATACCAGCAACTCTAATTTGCGACGACATGGTCGCAGCGCTAATGAAAACGAAACAGATTACCGCTGTTGTTGTAGGCGCAGACAGGGTCGTCGAAAATGGTGACACCGCAAATAAAATTGGAACTTATCAGGTAACTTATCAGTCCCGACTATCTTAATTCGAAATATTACAGAATATTACAGATAGAATCACAAACGATAAAAGATAATTGTTCCAAAAATAACTGATTTACCTCCAAAGATATCAGGTCATGTATTATGGAATTATTCTGAATAGATTCCAATTGGAATTCCGATTCATTCCGAACATTTTCAGACTACGTATCTAATATTTATGTACTTGTAATTATGTATACGGTACACATTTGCATAATATTTCTATTGATTACAGATTGCAATTCTCGCCAAATATCACAATGTTCCTTTCTATGTGGCTGCACCACTGACGTCTATAGACTTAAATGTGTTCAATGGTGATCAGATAGTCATTGAGGAGCGATCTGAACAAGAAATAACTCACATGAACGACAAGAGAATCGCAGCAGAGGGTATAACATGTTGGAATCCAGCATTCGATGTGACACCGGCGAGTTTAATCACAGGCATAATTACGAATGTCGGTCTTTTTAAACCATCAGATGGCCGGGATTTTCTCTACAAATATTCTGCTTTTATATTACGATAAAATTCAAAATATCTTTTATAAACATATGCGTTTATCAACGTTTATGTATATATATATATATATATATATATATCAATTGTAAATATCAAGAAACATGATTAATTTAGTCTCAAGAGAAACAGTGCCATTAAAAAGAACTATATAATATAAGAGCTTAGGAAAGTCAAGTTTATTGACTGTATAATTTAGTGTTAGATATTTTATCGAATTTTCAAAGATTCAGTATGACGTTATATTACGATATTGCCATTCCATATTGCAGCGTTAAGATACATTTTTATAGATTTATATTCTCGAATAAGATTTTATTACACCTTCGCGAATACGATGTTCGAAGTACATGTGCCTTATAACAACAAGTGTATTATGGATTTAATTGTGACATTAAGTAGTATCGCGTTGTACATTCAAAATTTGAATATTTAATGTTTTACGAGCTATAAAATAGACAGACGTGAAGGAGATGAACTTCTCGAGTCTCTCTTTCAGCAACTCCATATTTTCGTCCTCAAAAGCGATAATATATCCATAGTCCTAAAAAATCCTATCCTCAAGGATGCGGTTCGATGTTTTTCAAAATTCTTTCGATATAAGTCTCAGCTATTTGAAATGTCCACAAATGTTGCAATATAGTGCCAGTACGACGCGTGCGGGCTGCTGGGTTCCTGCGGGAAACCACAGGATTCTATTTTCGCCGTCGAAAGACGCGCGCGGGATCTCGTCCGCCGCGCGGGTTTCCACAGCGCGGTGCTTTAGTACTGCCAGCCTCGCCGCTCCGCGCGGAACTTGGACTCCCGGAATAGTCTCGCGGCGCTGTAAAACTTTATCGCCGAGCGCTAGCCGAAATCGGACCGATCTGGTGGACCGCGCGGCAGGCAGGACGAGCTCGTGTTCGTCGCGCTTCCCGTAGCTCCCGTTCGCAGCGAAATCTCCACGGGGGCTTTCTTAGATCGGTTCGGCTAGAGGCACGTTTCTTGTTCCTCGATGGAAGTGGACACGGAGAACGTCACGATGGACGAGACGGACGCTCTAATGAGGACCGACGACGGAGGCGGCGTCATCACCAGTAACGTCAACGACGACGATGGGGCGCCCACCGTTGAGGAAACTTATGAGATTACCACCACCAGACGTAAAACCATTCGCACCAGCTACAAGATTCAGGAGGTAAGTTGTTTGATGATGTGTATACATGACGATTGCCGTAATCATCGAGCTTCCGCCGACGCTGTAACGTGGGCGTCTTGTGTCGAGCGATCGTACACGAGGGATCTCGAGGAACGATGAGCTCAGAGCGTTTAGAAATAAAAGTGCTAACGCAACTAGATAAAATAATTAACAGAAAGCGAAAGAGAATTGACGCGTAACAATTTGAAGCTCTAATTCGATATAGTGTGTTATTTTATTGACCTTCCGTCAATGCATCCAATTTCGAATTAATAACAATTCAAATTTTTATATTTATTTGTGCGAATTTCTTTATGACGCTTTAAATCCACACTCACCGAACAATGAAGGATAGTCTTGCATAGATTTTCTCTAGTTTTCGATTATATATTTTTAGCGAAGAAGTGAATCTTGCGAAAAAGTGAAACATTATGCATTGGCAGAAAAATTAAGACAAATGTCAATCCTCCGCAACATGAATTTTAATATTCTTCCGTCAGTAACAGAGATCTTTAAAAAAAACAGAGTAAATTTTTTATTGTTTCGAACGTTCCCCGGATTATATCAAAATTTGCAAAAATTTTAGTACTTGCCAAAGCTTTAATAATTAGTTTTTACACCGTAAAATCGAATTGTATTTTACGTATTTTTTTTTACAGATTTAAATTTATCTATCAAAATTCACATTTGAAATAATCGACGGTGTCTTTAATTTAAAGATCCCAGTCGGCGGAAGATTAAAATCTCAAGAATTGTATTGAAAGATCTTAAACGGCTTCCAGGGGGTCGATTTTTTCTCTCTTTATCTTGAAACGAGGTGAAAATCACAAAAGTGAGCAAATCTACTAAGTGTTGATATTGATCAATGAAATTATAAATACTTTAGTAAATTCGCTCACTTTTGTAATTTTCGTATCGATTAAGATGCTCAATATTTTAATAAATTAACTCATTTTTTACCTCGATTGAGCTACTCGACATTTTTATACAATTATTTTGCACAATATTGTTGATATTCCCTTTAAACGATTTAAAACAACAATTTAGAGGTCGATATAATTTCCAGACATCAATTTATGTTAGTTGAATATCTGATTAGAAAAAGTCTTTTAAAAAATTCTTTTATTGAATTCGGTGAACTGAGAAAAATAAATTTTTCTCGGTAGGCTAAGTAAATTATTTTATATATAGAACGAAAGAGGAAAAAGATTTTAAATATTTTCTTGCTACTGTCGAGTGTCTTAACAATGTATTTTAGCACGTCGTACACTTTGAATATTATTGGTATCGTCTAGTTATTCCGTACGATGGATTAGTTGTTCTAGAAGTCGCGAGTTAGTAAACTATTCCATTGGTGTTTATTATTTATATATACCTTATTTTCTTATATATATATATATATATATTAGGTTAAGTAAAAAGTCATCGCGTTTTTTTAAAAGACAT